TAGAAGATTGGAGAAGCGTTGCCTGCTCTGATGAGTCTCTATTTCTGCTGACACATTCGGATGGTTGGGTCAGAATTTGGCCTCAACAACATGAAAGCATGGATCCATCCTGCCTTGTATCAACAGTTCAGGCTGGTGGTGGTGGTGTAATGGTGTGGGGGAGATTTTCTTGCCACACTTTGGGCCCAGTAGTACCAATTGAGCTTCAACGCCACAGCCTACCTGAGTATTGTTGCTGACCATGTCCATCCCTTTATGAGCACAGTGTCTCCATCTTCTGATGCCTACTTTCAGCAGAATAACACACCATGCCATTAAGAACGAATCATCTCAGACTGGTTTCTTAAACATGACAATGAGTTCACTGTACTCAAATGGCCTCCACAGTCACAAGAGCTCAATCCAATAGAGCACATTTAGGATGTGGTGGAAGGTGAGATTGGCATCATGGATGTGCAGCCGACAAATCAGCAGCATTTGTGTGATGCTATCATGTCAATATGGAGCAAAACCTCTGAGGAATATGTCCAGTAGCTTGTAGAATCTGTCACGAAGGATTAAGGCAGTTCTGAAGGCAAAAGGGTGTCCAACCCGGTACTAGTATGGTGTATAGTATTATATATACATATTATTAATTTTATTAGTTACTCACTTACAGTATGTGTGATGCCCTAGCAACACAAAAAACAACATATAAAACAAAACAAAAAACAGATTTCATTAATTATTTCAGTAATGCTGATTGTTGTTTGATTTTCCAGTCTGATCTGCTCCTGACAGAATTCTTCACTCATTCATTCATTTTCCTCAGCTTAGTCTCTTTATTAATCTGGGGTTGCCACAGCAGAATGAACTGCCAACTCATCCAGCAAATGTTTCATGCAGCTGATGCCCTTCCAGCCGCAAAAATTCTGGAGGGACTGATAAAGTCAGCATCTTCATAATTAGTCGTCAGAATCAAAAAGAGCTTTATTGCCAGGTATGTTCACACATACGAGGAATTTGTTTTCGTGGCGGAGCTTCTACAGTGCAACAGAATTAGTCATTAACTTTATCTTAGAGAATGTGGTGAATCAGCTGAACTGAGTAAATATCTGACCATGAAAACCACAAGCAGGAAAGAGAAAGAGAGAGATTTGATTTTACAAATAATTTTATTAACAAGCAATTATTTAACAATTGATTTACAGCTCAAATTAATTCACTTATAAAATACAGCTCTTTATTAATGACAGAACACAACCCATCATCACAACACCATTCAATTTTAAACACATTAATTGCCTTCATCATTTTATAGTAATTAAAATCAACAATAATTCTTGATTTTACTAGGTTTTTAAAAACTACTACAATGTTTTTACCATTCCTCTTTTCTATTTCATTTTTTCTTGCAATATAAATAGCTGATTTTGCTTGACCAAAGATAAAATTCAATATTTGACATTTATATTTGTGTTGTCTTTTGTATTTAAAACCTAATATAGAACATTGTTTCATAAATAAAAAGCCAAGTAAAGAAACTGAAGCATTTAAAGGATCAAACAGAGGAGCAAGTCTTTTACAATACATAAAACAGTGAAAAACTGTTTCCCTTTCTAAACAAAAATGGATATTGATCACTTACACTAGAATTTATTTTAGTCACAAATGCATTAACAGCTATAGCACCATGTAAAATTCTCCACTGAAAATCCCCCGACCTTTTATTCAATGGTGGTTTATACAATATTCTCCATTCTGGTTTTTCTTCTTCTGCTAAACACACAGAGAGAGAGAGAGAGAGAGAGAGAGAGGGAGAGAGAGAGAGAGAGAGAGAAAGAGAGAGAGAGAGAGAGAGAGACACTCCTCCCTCTATAAACTGTAGATGTTAGGATTGGTTTCATCAGACACAGAAGCAGCAGCTCGTCTGTTTAGAGGACCTACTGTCTGTCCAGATATAATCAAACAGTGCAATCATTTATTTACAATGTTTGATCCAGAATTACATTATAAAAGTGCAAAATGGACAATGTTCTGACAGGAGCTTTGTAGCCGAGATGATGAAGGCTCTTTGGGGATTCAGGTAAGTGATGAATATCTATCTATCTATCTATCTATCTATCTATCTATCTATCTATCTATCTATCTATCTATCTATCTATCTATCTATCTATCTATCTATCTATCTATCTATCTATCTATCTATCTATCTATCTATCTATCTATCTCTATCTATCTATCTATCTATCTATCTATCTATCTATCTCTATCTATCTATCTATCTATCAATCTATCTATCTATCTATCTATCTATCTATCTATCTATCACCTTTCAATCTCTGTCTGTCTGTCTATCTATCTTTCTTTCTATGGTATATAAAGAATTTTTCATTTGATGCATGCTTTAAAATATTTTTTAGGATTTTCTTTGACACTGTTGACACAATTTAATTTCATCAACAAACATTTATGCAATAATTATATAAATGTATATTCTCATTTACTAGTATTTCTGTATTACTGTTTTTCTTAGTGACTTTGGTGCATTTCTCACAACACTATTTACATTTGCACAACAGTTCATGCATTTCTCAATACGATTACAGTTTTTCTCGATTGCTTTGATGTCAACTGAAACTCCACATTTTCAAAACAGTAAACACACAGGCCTAAACAGCGGCACTCATGGTCAAAATGACACATTTTGCTCGCAAAAGGCACATATCGTGCCAAAACATTTCAAATATAAAACAAAAGCTAGTTTTACCTTCAAACAACACAACTTGCAAACAAGTATATGAGCTCTTTCAATTAATCATTACACAATGGACAACAAAATACAGAACTCAGTGCACCGCCATTGCTTGCCATTGTAGCTTATTGCCAATGGCATTTGTTGTCTTTCTATTTGGGCTGTCAAATTTGTCTTTTTGCAAAGAATTGGATCCAGAATAAGAAATGCTCTGATTAAATTTATATTGAATTCATCACATTTTTCAAACTGTGGCTGAAAACTGAAATACTGTATGTATATATATATATATATATATATATATATATAAACAGACAAAAGTAATAAAATACTGTAAATATTAGAGAAAACACATGTAAACTAATATACAGTCAAATCTATTGGGAGTATAGGACATATTGACCTCCTCCATCAATGCTGGCACAGAACAACACAAACCTGCCACTGTTTTTATAAGGTTTGCAGACTGATTGCTAATTGAAGATTTGTCTGAAGGAGTGTCAAAACGTTGCTAGTTTGTAATAGTTAGGAATAGATGGTTTCTGTTTGGTTACCATAACTAAAACAATGGAGTTTGGACTGCTTGAATGACATCCGTGTTAACTGTTTTGAAAAATGGTGAGGAAAATGTGTCCAACCATTGAGAAAGGGTTTACACAATTGCAAGACCTGTCTTCTGCTCTGCTGGGATAGTGATAAATGAAGAGGAACCTAGTTTCTTTAACCAGCTCAAAGCAAACAAGAAAAACTGTAGATTAGTACAAACTGCAAAAGCGTGTCACTTTCTCAAAATGGAGAGCTCATTCCTCAAAAGCAAGACTGACGTCAATGAAACTGTCAGAGTCATCAAGATGAACACTCCTGACACCATTGTTTACAAACAAGATAGTCTATAGGCTTAGTCATGTTTTCATTATGACATTTTACCCTGTACGTTTATTCCAAGGCAAAAAATATCTGATTTTAGTGACACTTCCTGAAAATGCTCAAGACAGCACTATATACTATTTACACAGCCATTTGAAAACTACAGTAAAGTTAGATATCACTGCATTTAGTGAGCTATCTGAGCACAACACACTGAAAATGTATGTTTCACATGTTTACTGCATTTGCTTTTTACATTTCTAATTTATTCACAGCATTGTGCAAAAGAATAAACACCCCCTTATTTACAACAAACATAAACTTCCTCTAGATAGAGCTGTGCACAACTGTATACTATATTGCAGTACATATTGGAACTGAACCTACAACACATATAGGTCTGTGAATCATTCAGGAAATTGATCAGTTTAGTAGACATTTTTAGGGGGAAAAGATTTAAACATTTTTTATAAAAATAGCTTGACAGATTTTGACAACTAGTTCAACATTTCTGTATGTAATGACTCCAGTAATGAAATAAGGACTGTTAGTTTTATATGAAATGATTATTCAGCATTTACAAGTTTAATTAATTATGACTGACAATAACACAAGCAGATGATAATGTTATAAATAGCAGAGAGTTGTACGAAAGCAATTGCTGCATGTCCAAAAGCATCTGCAATGTGTTGGAAGGAATGAGAAACTGCTACTATGATGTGCACAAATGACAAAATGCATTAACTGTTGTGCAAATGTAAATAGTGTTGTGAGAAATGCACCAAAGCCACTGAGAAAAACTGTAAGCTGCTTTGACACAATCAATATCATAATAGCCCTATATATATATAAACATGAATTGAATTGAATATAGTCTATGTTTAATGTTAAAATTGCAAATGCTAGCACTTTTATCCAATTTATACGATAATTAAAACATTTCTAATGTAAAGGGGATAAAAACACTATTAAAAGTGGGAGATGTCTTTTAGAATCCAACTGTTAAATCAAAAATAACTATATCTTTCGACATATAGATATGTAATTGTGTTATTGGATGCTTGTAAGTGGCTGACTGTATAGTATAAGCTGCTCCTGTATTTTCCTGGCTGAAAACTAACAATAGTTAAGTAACACAAGATACAAAATTCCTGCTTTAAGTCTAAGAGAGCCTTGCTAACTACTGTACTATCTACATTCACTTTATCAAATTATTTAAACAAAGCCCCGCCCTTTCACGTTATAATTCAAGAATTAGCCCCTCCTCTCACGCGCTCATAGTATTCAAACAGGAGCTCCACCCAAAACCCCGCCCATTTATAAGCATCCCTGTTTAGAATTACTATAATATCCCCGCCTCCCCATTCCCTTCACCACTTCATTTAAATTATCACCACGCCCCTTTCACCCTTCATCACAACCGCCACCCTTCAGCAGCTTCAGCTAAACGCCTTCAACCGTTCATACGGTCCGCCGCTCACCGGATTACACCAATATATGGCTCAAAGTACCTCTGTTATCTCTTACATCGGTGCTCGTGTTACTTTGTAAAAATTCCGCCGAAAAAGAGTAGACGGTTTCCCTCAGATGCTCGCGATTTCTCCCGTGTAAGTAGCTCTGGGTTTCCTAAGCAAGCAAGCTAACATGTGTTAGCAGCATCTGTGTACATTTGGAATATGACGGGCGAAGCTGTTTACATCGAACTGCGCTGTTTTATTTGGGATTAACCTCAATTTATGTTGTGAAAAGAAAATAGTGAATTAATCTAACATTATTATGTGTAACGTTATCTGTCGTCTGGCTAAGTGGCGGTTAGCAATGAATTAGCCTGTAGATATTGAAACATTATCGCCGATATCTTGTAGGGAGAATGACGTAACGTATAACGTTAAACCATAATGTTGTTGTTGTTGCTTTAATAAGTTAAAGAGGTCTCGTTAGAAAATTATATGAGCGACCTAATGTAATATATAGATGATAAAGCCTTAAGAAATTGGCGCCTCATTTATTTCCGTCTGCGTTAAACTCATATTTGACTTGTGTTTATATTATTGATTTAAATGCTGAAGATAGAGATGGCAAAATTCTAATGTTACCCGATTATAAAAAACATTTGACAATATTTTCTCCACAAATACATCTTATAAACATCAGTACACGTTTTACTCCTGTCAAAATGTACCTATTTTGTTGAGATGAAAAATTGTTGTTGCATTTTACCATTTCATATATTGTTACCGTTTTAGAGAATTTTATTCACCAGAAACGCGAAATAATATAATCACATAGATATATATTAGGGCTGCACGATATTGGAAAATGTTGATATAATATATTGCAATGTAATTTCACCACATGACTTGAATAACTCTTTTTTGCAAAGACTTTAGATTGATTGGGATGATTTTAATGAAAAGTAACATTTTTATGTAATTTATTATATACATAATATAAACTAAATGCACAGTTATAAATAAACACAATCGAGCAAATATTAAAGTAAAATAAACCATGATTTTATTGACAGTATTGAGTATAAATACAGATTTGAATAATCAAGTGTAAATTAACAATGCTTAGTGTTTATTATAAAAATTGTTCAATAATATTTATTAAACTTCTTCATGCTCTATTAAAAAGTTTTATTTATTCATTCATTAATTTTCTTATCGGTTAAACTTAAAATGCTTACATAGTCACAGGCCTTAAAAACACATGCTGATGATTAACTTTCACTCTATTATGCTGAAATTCTTCCTTAGTCACCAGAATATCGGGTGTTTTAACCTTCGGTTTCTGGTAATCTATAATCCTTACTCAACATTGCGTACTTTGTGATGTGACTATTGCGAACAAATTTTCCATAATTTACAGGAATTCACTTAGTTGTGATTCAATGTAACAGTGGTTCATGTGTTAAAAATCCTGTCAAACGTGTTAAGAACAATGTAATGACGTTTTCAGACTCTATTTAAGTATCACGCTGAACTCCTAGATAATTAATTGTGGTTTTCGAAATCTTTATCTTTCACCCCATCTTTAAAAAAAAAAAAATAGTTTTGACCCATTTGACTAATTGTTTTTCTTTATTTGTTATTAATCTAATCTAATTTAGTATAATCACTTATTCAGTTCGATGCATCTTTATTTCTACAGCGCTTTATTTCTACAGATTGTGTCAAAGCAGCTTCACATAAAAGTTCTAGTAAATTAAAACTGTTTCAGTCTAGTTTTTAGAGTTGAAGTTCAGTTTAGTTTGTTGGTATAGTTTATAATAACGCCACATATTGTTTCATTATATTAATAATTTTTTTCACGTAATGACAGTGGAGCATTTTTTGTTATACATACATTTTGAGCATGTATTTTTACCAAATTTCTTTGAAAAATTGAATGCAAATGTCTGCTTTGATATTCTTTCTTTATAAAATTACTTTTACTAATATTATTTAGAAAGAGACACCAAAATTTATATATGCATGTGTGTGTGTTTTCAGAGTCAGACAACGATTAATATTGATAAATTGCATTCATTACATGAGTAAATGCTCATGCATAAAAACAAAACTATACCAAGAACACATATATATATATATATATATATATATATATATATATATATATATATATTAGTCAAATATATGCAAATGTGTATTTATATATACATAATCACACATTATGCCAATACAAACTTTTTTTTTTATCCATATTACAATTAATCATTGCCCAGGTCTTCTAATAATATTATAATCTAAATCTTTTATGTTTGTTATACTACTCTATCCATCCATCCATCCTAACATACACTGTTTGATTATTTATTTGTGCAGGTGTACCTGAACTACGAGAACAGCTTAGGGACTTCTGTCTACCGTGAGCAGTTTGATTTCAACGCAGAGCCCCCTTGGGATCCTAGCTGATAGCTGGAGAGGTCATCTTCTGACCTGTTCCTGTAAGTTCACACATTACTGTATCCTCGGTGTTTTAACGCAGGGGCTTTCAAACTTTTTAATCTCAGGGACCCCCAAATATGATGATTTCTTGCAGGGGACCCCTTTGCCTAAAGCTTAAAAGTTGCTTATATATTTCAAGTATAGAGATGCAAACTAAAATTCTGTATAAAGACATTGTAGTTCATATTTCACAGGCATGCAAAATGGTATTGTTTTTAAAACTATTTATCTTGGCAACTCACCTTAGCCAAAAATGATTCTCAAAATTGTTATATTTCTTAAAAAAAACAAAACAATGAAATATTTATATTAACCTAACAAGATAGCTTTTCTAAATAAGACACTGGTAGATGAAAAGTTAAACCTGGACATTTGTAGTTTCTGTAGTTTTTTCCCGTTTTGTATTTATGGAAAACTGCAAAATATTTACATTAAACTTATGCGTTTGCTTGCTGTGTTGTCTAACAAAGGCACACAATCTACCTTTCGTGCTGCTTCCTCTCCAAATAACAATGTTGAATGATGCCGACTGTAACGCTTTTAAACACCTGTCGGGGACTAATACTTTCTGCCGAAAAATACTAGGCTGCCCGGCCAAACAGAACTCCTTATGTTGATTTTTCTGCCTCATTGGGATGTTTCTGCTGTAGATGGTGCTTGAGCTTTGATGGTTTCATGCATTGGTTGGAGAGAATCTCTTGACAAAGAACACACTGGGGTCCATCGACTCCCTGCTTTAACATGAGGGTAAAAACAAATGCAATGTAAGATTTTCTCACCAAGTCAGATTTGCATGAACGA